TCATGTTAGATGTCAAAAGATAGCTTTTTTGAAAACATTGAATACGTATATTTTCAGATTTCTGATCCGATGTGTATTCTCGAGATATTCGACCGTTTCCACACTTTTCGGACACCCTGTATAGAGAGACGTCGTTAGATTTGACAAGTTTGTACAAATGCGGAGGAAATATTTCAAGTCTCAAACAAGAATTTAGGAATTTTATGCTGACTCTAATGTTAACGCTCAATTTTATAACTATATTAGTTTAACAACTATCATTATCTCAACATTTTCATAAACCGGAAATAATAATAGAGATTATAATAGTAAAATTAGAAAATCGTAAGTATTTCCAAACTTATAAATAGTAAACTGTATTGTATATAAATACATCTTAATTTAAATGAAACAATAATAGAATACATACCTGTATATTTAAATGAAATGGATACTTAAGCGAACCTTCGTTTTTGTAAGAATTTTATATAATATGATATTTTTCTGAAACTAAAATATTTTACAAATATTACATAAAATTATAATCATACCTAGTAAACACAAAGTTACATGTAACGTACCTGTTAGTTGTAATTTCCCACTCAACAATATAACTGTAATATAACACGTGTGTTATATGACGGTTGATAGCTTCTTCCTTATGAACAGTCCTAGACGAAGAGGACAGAGATTTAGAGAGAGACACATACAAGAGAAGATTTTCTATTGACGCGGATTTCGATTCTGAACTTAAAATTTGAAATTAAAAAATGCCTAATCCAATATTACGTAGGTAAAAGATTCCAAATACGTTGATTCAGATTAAAAATGAAAATTTAAAGGAAAAGATGATTAACATTTTTTGTCGTTATTCAAAAATTGAGTAAATATTTGTGTCGAATAATGTAAGTATAAAGTGTCATTGACATAAATGTTTTGAAATTCGAAGATTTTATTTCGTCACAAAAAGACCAATCACAACAACTGAAACACCATTTTATTAAAAATTCATGTCAATTTAATATAAACTATCATATAGATCAATATGTAAAAATGAAGATAAGTTAAGATCACCTGAGGTCAGCGCGTGCGTAACGCGCGTTTGCGATGGGCTAATAAGAATATAAAATGGACATGTCATCTATTAAGACGTTACGATACATTTAAAGTTCACGAATGATACACATTAATATAATTTATAAGATAGAATATGTAAAGAATATGACACAACATATGTGGTTAAATGGGAATATATGAAATGTATAACATATGTCATTATGTATTTATGTGTGTGGTATAGTATTTATTACTCGAATGTGACTAATCAATACTTATAATTACAGCCAATATAAATGATCCCTTATTAACTGTTCGATAGAGCGTTGCAGTTTGCAATTGTAAAAAAGAGGACGGCAACAAATAGCACAAAATAAATAAAAAATAAAAAAGGTCGTCAATTTATACTCCCCCTCCCCCTTCTTTCGTTAGTTAAAAATTTCATACCCACGGACGAGATAAGTTATCGGCCCTGACTACGCGTACTATAACAAAAAATTGTTTAGACTTTAGATATATCGTAACGTCCGAATAGATGATATGTCAATTTTATATTCATAACAAAAATCGTGTAAGTTTAAGATCTAACCATATATCTTCTTTACGATTTTTAACATAGTAGATTATTAAACTTTATAGTGCATTATTATATAATTATGTCGTTAGAGCATACTCAAAGATTCGAGTCTTATAGGTTGATATACAGTCAGTTCAGAAAGTATTCATACAGAGAAAATATTTTTTTAAAAAACTTTATTTTTAAAAAGTAAATATTATCCAGCGAGAAAAAATAATATGTAATATTTATATCATATATATATGATATTTATTATATAAATATTATATAAATATTATAAATATCATATATATATATATATATGTTATAAATATCACATATAAATATGATGTATATAATACATATATATTTAATAATGTAGGATGATATTGATTGATGTAAAATAATGTTTATTAACTCAGTGTCTAGATGAGTAATATAAGGTTTAATATGATACAGAGGATCGTACAAACAAAGCAAGAACACACACTTCCTATTAGCTCTCGAACTCTCGTTCTCACCAGACTCATTCGCTCACCAACCTTACAAGAATTCCCCCATCTTGTCTTCTACCTTCTCTCATCAGATCTCGCGCCCTCTATCGGGTTCCAAAATAATAAAAAGACTCGGTCGGTGCGGGACGCTCCCCACATTCGGCCATTCTGCTTGGTCTTGCGCCTCGCAGGGCATATTCACACAGAAGAATACGTCTATTAACGTTCAAACTAAAGAATATTTTAAGGGGGTACTCTACTCTAAAAATTTCAAAAAATCAAAAAAAATTTTTTCACTGTTTTTTCAAAAATTTTTTCTTCCTGACCTTTCTGAGAAAACATGAGAAAACATGTCTTGGATTGGCAGATTAATCTTCGTAAGTAAAGATCCTTCATAAACGGTGCGCAAAACTTTAACGCGTTTTTCTCAAAACCATGTTTTTTGAACTGGTGCCCAAGATATCTCAAGATCTATTTGACCGATTAAGTCTGGCTTTTACGTACATCCTCAGCAGATGTGCCGCTATAGCCGGAACTAGAATTAAGTAAAAAAAATTTTTTTACGATTTTGACAACCTTCGAAAGATAAGAAAATTCATACTAAATTTTCAAAGTGCCGCCATTTTTTTAATTTTCTATTTTTTTATTCCATTCTAGTTCCTGCTATAGCCAAACTTATACTAATTAAGAATCTTTTTGAATTTTTTATTTCAGATAACCAGAATGCACGCAATCATGGGCACCGTTTTTTTTTACCATGTATTCGATAGGGTTTAATTAATATTTATATTCATTAATTTAGCTTTAAAAAATATTTTTTATGTTCTCTAAACATAATAAAATATATACATAAAAAGCTGATATTAACAATTTTCACTAATTTCTTGTAAAAAAATCCCGAAAAAAGCGTGTTTTAGAGTAGAGTACCCCCTTAAGTATAAAAGATCTTATCTCTAACTCTTAATCTTATTTTACAGTAAGAAAAATCCTTAACCTAACATCGATATAACAAATGGAATAAATAGGCTTAAACCTAAACTTGAACCTTAATCGACAGTGAGCCACGGCTTCAAGTATTCCGCACATGAGGATGTACGCATAGGTCCCTCATGTTCTCCCACCTTAATCACTTCGTACGTATCATTAGACTTAGCCTTTAACACGCGGTAGGGACCTAAATATTTCGCTCGCAGCTTTCTTCCTGGGCCCAATTGTGTTCGCTTTATCGCTACCATGTCTCCTACGAGGTATTTGGAAGCTGTTTTACGTCTAAGAATGTAAGTTCTACAATTTTCGGATTGCACTTTAAGAATCTGCTCCTTCGCTTTATCACGTAAATGACCGCGTTCTTCGTTGAATTGAGATTGAAACTCTTCCTCGATTATTTCGCTTAATCTAAGATCGGCTTCTCCGCGCATCTGGGTACCGAATAACAATGTAAATGGCGCTGTATCTATGCTACGATGATAAGTCGAATTTAGGATTCGCTGTAATTTTCCTACATGCTGGTACCACTTATCTGGATCATCAATAGTCAGTTTGGAAAGCACGGATATAATTACCCTGTTCAACCGCTCTATTTGCCCGTTTGCCCTAGGCAGACCTGTGGTAACCGTCAAATGAGTAATCATCTCAGCTTTGCAATAATCACCGAATTCTTGCGACGTGAAGGCTGTTCCTTTGTCAGTAACAATCTGTTTAGGGTTTCCGAAAATCTGTTTTTGTACTTCTAATTTATTTAAAACTTCACGCGACGTCGTAGTTTTCGTTGGGTATAGCCAAACAAATTTGGAGAAACTATCTATCACAGCTAAGATATGTTTATAGTTACTTCTAGTTGTTTCTAATGGACCTAAGTGATCAGCATGAAGGGTGTGCAAAGGTGAGTTAGGCTTCGGCAAAGGATGCAGATGACCTTCTTGCTTATCCTCCTTTCGATTCATCAATATACACGGCACGCAGCTTGCAATGCATTTGCTAATTTTTCCCTTTAGATCCCTTATAAAATATTCCTGCCGAACAAGTTCCTCGGTACGTTTAGCAGCAAAGTGTCCCCTTTCATGTATGATTCGTATAATGTCCGTCTCTAAAGATTTAGGAATAACCAACAAACTCGGCCGTCTTGAAATTTATAAAGTAAGTCACCATTCATGTGATAATTATCATATGACTTTTCTTTCGCAATTTCTATTAGAGCTTTAATTTCACTATCTCGTTCCTGCTGGTCCTTAACTTGCGGTATGACTGAACATTTTGATATAGCCATCACCGGATGCCTGCTTAAAACATCTACGTGTTTCATACGCACTCCAGGTCTATGCTCTATACAATAATCGAAATCTTCTAACAGAAGAGCCCATCGGGCCACACGAGTAGACAACTCTTTTTTATTCATCGTGCGTTGAAACGCTGCGCAATCAGTAACTATTTTGAACCGAATTCCTAATAAATATACGCGAAACTTTTTTAGAATCTCTACTATCGCTAAAACTTCTAACTCGTAGCTTGAGTAATTTCTTTCTTCGCGCTTAGTTTTCTTACTTGAAAAATGAACTGGGTGCACGATACAGAATTGCAATGACGGGAGAGCGTTGCATTAACACAGCCTCATACCCACCTATACTTGCATCCGTATGCAATTCTGTATCGTGACGGGGATGATATATCTTTAAAACCGGTTTTCGCGTCAATATCGTCTTTAACTGAGCGAACGCGTTTTCGGCTTTTCCATTGAAATTAAATTGTTGCTCTTTCCGTAGCATATCAGTAAGAGGTTTAGCAATCACTGAATATGACGGTATAAATTTCCTAAAGTAACCTGATAATCCAAGGAAAGCAGGTCTTTTAGTTTCGTAGGTTTCGAAAAATCAACTACAGCTTTAACTTTTCCAGGCGACGGGTAAATCTTTCCCCCTTCTAACACGTGACCCAAAAATTCTATAGTATGCTTAATGAATTGACACTTCTTAAAATTTATTTGCAATCCATATTCGCTAGCAGTTTTAAATACCAATTTCAACCGATTCAAGACTTCTTGTTCATTTGAGGCCGGAATGACCAGATCATCCAGATAAAGCAGCACCATGCCTTGTTTAACTAAATCCCAAAAGGCAGCATTTATAAATCTCTGAAACACTCGTGGCGAATTACATAGTCCGAAAGGGACTTTACAGAATTGATATTGACCACAGTGAGTAACGAACGCAGTATATTTTCTACTCTGTTTTTCTACTGGGACATGAAAAAATCCGTTTTTTAAATCTAAAGTACTAAATACACGGGAATCTTCTAACTTGTCTAATAAATCTTTGATTAACGGCAATGGTTGCCCGTCCTTCTCTATTACCCGATTTAACTTACGGTAATCGATGCAAACGCGGGGTAATCCGTCCTTTTTTCTCACCACCACTACTGGACTCGCATATTCGGATGTACATTCCTCTATCGTCTCGTCCTTCATCCATTCCGCTACTTGTCCCTCAACTATCTCACGTTCCGGTACTGGCAATCTACGGGGTTTCTGAAAAATTGGCTTCTCGTCCTCAGGAATAATTCGCATGCTTACATCAGTCGTTTTATATTTATTCGCTTCATACGTTGTAACCAATGCCTTAACTTCCTCATTAACTTTCGGATCTGTTGTATGACCTATGTCTATTGATTGTTCTTCGACTACGTTGACCCGCGCTATAAATTCAACACAGACGCAGTTTTACAGAAAATTATCCCATCCGCATTTATCGACACTTCACACGTAGTTAACAAATCGCTTCCGATTATCATACTAGTATTCATAGCCTCTACTGGAACGACGTGTACCGTACAATCAAATTGTTCCCCGATCGATTTCAGCACTTGTTTCGAAACTACCGAGAGAGCGTACTTTACTTTAACGTATTTTTTTAATTAATCATATTGTAAGCATCTTCGCGCATTAACGTAACTTGACTACCCGTGTCTACCAATGCATTTAAAGACGTACCGTTTACTATTATATTTTTTGACATTCTTGAGTCTGGTGGCACAGAAATTACTTTAACTACCGGCACTTTGTTACCTGTCTTATTTTCGTCAGTCGCATCGCATTGACTAGCTATGTGCCCGAATTGTTGACACATGAAGCATTTCCTTCCCAGCTCTTTCTTCTTGCAATCCTCTGACTTATGCCCTTTACCTCCGCAATTGTAACATCGCGTCTCCAACCCTGAACTTTGGTCGATCTTCTTCGTGGCCGAGATCTTCTTTGTCACTCCTGACTTCTTGAATGTATCGTCCTTTTCTCGAACCGTCTTAACTTTTTCTGAATTTTTCTTGCGTATGGCTTCATATGTTTTCATCTTTTCCTTGAAGTCTGTTAATTTTCTGGCACCGTACAATATTAACTTGTTCTGAGTGTCATCGGCTACACCGTCAATTACATACTGGATTAATGCTTCCGATTCAATTTTGCCTCACGATGCCAACTCTTTCATTGCCAGATAATACTCTTGTAGCGACTCTTCCTTCTTTAGTTTCCTCTTGCGTAACATCTCGTGCACCTGAGCGCTATTCACCTTGTCCGAAAATTCATCTTGAAGGATTGTCTTTAATTTTTTTCATGTACGAACAACGCCTTCACTTTCAATAAACATCTTAGCTGGACCGGATAAAGACTTTTTGGCAAACACTACTTTTTGTATCTCCGTCCACTCAAACAGGTCGGCTGTTTCTTCAAACTCCGTTATCCACCTCTCTATTGGATAAGTATCCTTTCCACTAAAATTTCTGATAGAATCCTCCACATCTCGATAAGTCATTGAAAACTTCATGCGCGTTTGACCCACTGCTCTTGCCGGACATCTCTCTTCTTGCTCTTCGCTTCTCGCCTCGTTATCGTCGTCGTTTCCATGTTTTTTGCCATCATTGATCTCGTCAGATTCACATTCGTCTTCTTCTGAATCGTCCTCGTCAGCTGTAGAGACAAGCGCATTGATATCCAATAGCCCATCCAGAATTCGTATTATTATTTCCTCTTTGTTACCGCTATATTCCAAACCAAGAATATTACAGCACGAAATCAAGTCGCCA